GAGGACATAGCATTTGCATTTCAAAAGTTTGTTGGTCATATAGATCTTCTGGATGAGCGTATTGATGATGTTGCGGAAAATTTTGAAAAACTGGAAGATCGAATTGACAAAGTGGAAAATAATGTGGAAATAATACAGGATGAAGTTACTATGTTACAATACAAAAACATGGAATTTACTTTAAGAATAAGGGGAATGAAGGAAAATATTCAAGAGGATTTGAAACAAGTGGTGGTAAAAGATATTGCTCTTATTTTGGGGGCTGAGCCTGAAGAAATATTGAGAGAGACGGAAAAAGTTTTTAGGGTTAATTCTAGGGTTGCGAGACAGAGGAATTTGCCACGAGACATGGTTATCTATTTTTCTAGGAGATCACTTCGTAATGAAATTTTATAGGCTTTTTATAAGCAGAGATTTCAAATTGCAGCTCAAGATATTATAATTTTAAAAGAAATACCTTCAAAAATTCTTAGAAAGAGAAAGGATTTTGCTTTTTTGGTTGATGAGCTCAAAAAACACCAGGTTCGATTCAGATGGGATATACCGGTTGGAATAGTCCTGAATTATGCGGGGATATATTATAGACTTAATACAATGTCAAAGGCAAAAGATTTTTACATTTCGGTTTTGAAGGTGGGTTCTCCATTATTTTTACGACCTGAGATAATAGAAGAAAAGTTGGAAGAGCAGCCGGTTGAAAGTGCTATGCTATTGGATGTGGGAGACAAACAGGCTGAACATTTGCAGCAGTCTCTTGAGACAGAAGATTTTTTAAAGGAACCGAGAATGACTTGTGCAGCCTATAGACGTAAATTAAAAGAACTGCAGAAAATGGATGTTGGAATAAAGAAAAGGAAATGATGAACTTTTGCAGTAGTTTTTTGAGATAGAAGATGTTTTAAAGGAAAAGTGGATTATTTGTATTTAGTATGTTTTAAAGGAACAGTGAATGATCTGTGTAGTATGTGGATGTAAAGTAAAAGAATAATAGAAGGTGTTGATTTAGTGGAAAAGTTTAAATATTTGGGAGTATATATATTATAAATTCTTAATTTAAAGTGAAAAATAATTATGAAATATTATGGGTAAATGTGTAAAAGAATTTAAAATTTTAATGATCTCTGTTGGTGAGAATTTTAGAAGATGAATGGTTTGCTGAAACTTTTTAAGTAGGAGGGTATTAATAGACTTTCTTAGGGGTAAAAAGCAAAGAGCCAATTTTATTGAACGTAAGTTTGTTGGTTAGGTTATATTGGAGGGAAAATTTTGTGTTTATTATGGACAAATGGTTGTTTAAAAGAAATATACACCTCAGCGAGGTGAAGATGGATAAATTATATGTAGAGTAAATATGGGTTATGATATGGGTTTAAAATGCATTATGCAGATTATGAATTATTTATAGCTTTTAATTTGGAAATGCTTATATTGTTAATTTTTTTTGTATTTGAGTTAAAGTATATTATCGATTTTATTATTTGTATAGTTGGATAAGTTTATTTAGAATTTGTTTGTTTATTTGTAACCCTGTTACCAGCTCTGGGAAGTGAGGGGGGGAGGGAGGGGGTTATTTTAGGGGGGATATTGTTTAAAACTTGTATAAAACTTTTCAATAATAATAATAAAAAAGAACAATTCTGTACTAATTGACTTCTTCTTTCAGAACTGGTTAAAAGTGACCAGAGACATGATTAAAGATTTATTGTTGATACTGAATAGAGGAAAATGACAACTGACTAATACTTTTCTAAGGAGGTTGATAACATCAGTTACAAATAATATAGCTTACCTCTATTTTTAGCCTCAGTCTTGGAGAGGTTTACCCTATGTTGGGATTCAAATCAGATTCAAATCAGAATTAGCAGAGAAGCTTGTGTGAAGCAAAGAATGAATGACCTACGTTATGAGTCGGTCAGTTTCCAAGAGGCAGAAAGGCAACTCATTCTCCTGACCAGCTGGAGTTACGGCTGAAAAGAGGGATGATGTCCCCAAAGGCCTAAGGATGACCCCCCCCCCACAAACATTTTTGGTGGTTTGTGTGGTTTTTAAAGATGAAAATGTGAGCAAGGTGCCCGTGGGAGGCAAACTTTCCCCATTTCCATTTTTCATATCCCAGATTCCCCAAACTAAAGGACACCATCAACATTCAGTTGCAAAGAGCTTAACATTTTGTGTCATGCTGTTGGGCTATTTGGGAGGAGAGATTAAAGGGTGAAAATAGGAACAGTTCATTTATTTTTTAAATGTATTACACATCTTTTATTGAGGAACCAAAGGTAATGTACATAGGGCTTTCTCCTCCTATGATTTCCCACAACAGCAACAAAATCTTTGAAGTAGGCTGGGGTCAGAATAAATGATTGGACCAAAGGCACAGAGGGGGCTTTCACGCCTGATGGTGAACTGGATTCTGGGTCTTCCCATTCATAATTCAATACTTTAACAATTACATTTTATATCACTTTGTTATTTGTATGTATACTAGGAGCTTATGCACTGAAGACAAATTTCTTGTGTGTCCAATCATATTTGGCCAATAAAGAATATTTCTACTCTACTCTACTCTACTCTACTCTACTCTACTCTACTCTACTCTACTCTACTCTACTCTATTCTATTCTATTTTTATAAACTGTGAAGAAGTCTTGTGATGGAGCAGGTCATTTGTTTCCCAGAAGGCCTTCTGAGTCTTCCTTTCCAAGATATTTTTAAATTTTATTTCTTTGCTTCTTGTTTATTGTCTAAGCCAGGGGTAGGCAACCTTGGTTCTTTTATGACTCATGGACTTCCACTCCCAGAATTCCTGAGCCAGCCATGCTCAGGAGATGTTAAAGATTGGCATTTACATTCTTTGTTCCCCAAACCACTAAACCAGAGCTGGCTTCTGGAAGGTTCACTGATGAATTGTTGTATGAAATTACTGTGATTGCAGTAGTCATTCACAAAAAATCTGGAAAGAATGAGAGAGGGATAGCATTAATTGCTTTAATAGATCTTTTTTTATTAGTAACCCCAACTTATTAGTCTAATACAACCTAATACAATTATCAAAATTATAGAAATTATGAAATCTCATGTGTTCCTGTGATATCTTAAACATCCCTAATATGGGCACCCCCACCCCTCAAAAGTCCTTCATTATTAATCCAAATGACTGACTGAAGGAGAAAATAGGTAGATATTTCAGAAAGAAAACTAGAGTGATATGTGAAAAAAGGGTAGAATCTTGAGTTGCTTGCCAAGCTACATTTATGAATGGGATTTTCTGAAAGATTGTCAGGAAGAAGAAATCGTTTATTAAATTCTCCCAAAGCTGGCAAGTAACATTCTGTCCCATTTGTCTCCTTTATATCACACTATTGAACTGCAACATAATATATGTTGATTTGTGTGTTTCTATATTGGAAAATTCATATTTATTATGTCAGTGAAGTTAGATCTAATGCGGTGCTTCTAAGGTTGTATTTGGACAGAAAAATAAAATGCAATACTCTTTGTATTTTGCACTGCAGACAGCAGTGCATTCTTTTGTTTAAACCCTTGAGGAAAGTGTGTTAGTTTTTAAGAGAATGTGGAGTTTTTCATGGAATATTGATCGTTACTTTGGGAAGACTAGACACACTCTAGAGAAAAATACTAAAGTCATAAATAAATAATGCAAAATATTGGCAGTAAGAAGCCAATGAGAAAATTGTAAGGCTGATACGCTATTTGATAAGTAAGTACATAGACTCTTAAAGCACTTTTGTGTTTGAGAAGTTTAATTGTGCTGTCGTTGTTGAAGAAATGATGCACGTATACTTTAAATATTGAGAGAGATAAACACTTTTGATGATTTCAAAAATGTAGACTTGGTGGATGGCTACTTGATTTACTACTCAAAGAGGTAAATTAGTTCAAGAGGAAAGATGTTATTATTATCAAGCAAATGAGGGGCCACTCTTCAGTGCTCCATCAATGATTACAGCTTTGAGTATAGCTTTTTTGCCCAGGTATTCTCAGGTATCAGGGTTAATTGTAATTGCAATGCAGACAAGCAGTTATGTTCATAATTATATGAATAACACTTGTGAGCTCATTTAATGTTTCTAGGTCATAGGCTTTAAATGATAATATTCTGTTGGTTTCCTCGTTCTTAATTAAAAGAGTTTAATCATCTATATAAATATTAGTACTTTGTTAATTGGTCCAAACAGTTCAGAAAATGGTACTGTGCATTTTATTTAACTAAGCAGTAATTTTTGTTAAAATTCATTAAGACTCAAGTATTTTGGTTCCCTGAAAAAGCTACAACTAGTTGTCACCTATATCATGTTTTCTGCAGAAGTTATAAATGATGAAGTGAATAAATGAAATTCTCAAACTATTCTTTTGTTTTATCCTTTGCACCCAATAATTAGTATTAGGATGTCAAAGCATTAGGATGTCAAGGCAAACCATGATTTATAAAACTACACCTTTCTTTTTAATGATTAAAAGATGCCAATTTACAAATCTGTATTGAACAGATAGAAAATAAACCATTTTATTTAAAACCTTTAAGAAGCTCTTGCTTTGTTATATTTTACCATTGCTTCATCAGCCATCAATTTCAGGAATTGCACTTTTAATACAAAAATGGGTAACCTTTTTTTCTGATTAGGGACTATACTGATTATTCAAAAGAAAAAAGCTGATTATTGCTCTTATGAGCTAATTTTATTTTAAGTATAGCATCACAATGTATTATTGAATTAAAACATGTTATATGAGCTATGCCCCAATCATTTTTGAATTCTTGTATTTCATCTGATTCTGGAAAATCAATATTCTTTTGTCTTTAATTGTTCAGTTGCAGAGTTAGAAATAGAATGTATGGTGGTTTGATTTGCCCCTGGGTTGCATTTATCATTTCTATTAATGCTTTTTATATTCAACATCAATTTTTTAAAAGGCTTTTTTAAAAAAACAACAAAAACAAAGCTGTTACTTTTCTCTAACAATACCATTGTGCTTTACAGGATTTATGAACGGGTGATAGATCGCCCAGAAACAAATCTGACTCCAGGAAGCAATTTGTGGCTAGGACAACGCAACAGAAAACATGGCTTTTTTAAGGTAAGGATGCAAAACACAGCCACAGATGAAAAAACAATAGAGTGAAACTTGAAATACTTATTGCTATTTCAAATAATAGTTATTTTTCTCTTTGAATGTGTATTTGTATTACAAAAGATAAGAGTGCTTATAGAACTTCAGTCATTTGCACTGATTTGTACAATATTTCTTTCAGACAGTATCTTTATTATAACATGCAGTAAATATATTATATTAACATTCTCCAACCTGGTACTCTTTAGATACGCTGGACTACAAGCAGTGTAATTCTTAGCCATCCAAATTCCATAATGCTATATTATTTGGAGATGATGGGAATCATACTTCCAACATAAGACACCAAGTTGTGAAAGATCATACCCAAAATACATTATGGATGGTTACCTAGGATAGTAAAGACAATGAGCCCTAGCTCCCTGGCAGTTCCTGGATAACCCTGGATCATCCCAAACTGTAGAGTTAGATGTGGTTAGTGTTTGAAAAAGAGACCACCAGGAATTCCAAGGCTGTAATTTAGATTAGACAAAAAAAAAAAGGAAAACATCCCATAAGCATGGGGATCCATAACGGGCGAGAAAGCAAATGACAAAATGTGCCTGGATATGTTATCACACAAATGCCTCAGGGTTTGTACTGACATCTGACATGGTAGCACAGGTACATAAAAGTGGCATTTATGGCGTGTCTATGCACGTGTATCATTTTGTCATTACTGTGGGTGGCTGAAGACGCTGCTGCCCGGAAAAAGCAAGAGGGCTGCTCATGAAATCACTAAAGGAACCGTGGTGGCAGAGTGGTTAGAATGCAGTACTGCAGATGACTTCAGCTGACTGCCGGCTGACTGCAGTTTGATCCTCACCGGCTGAAGGTTCTTCCATCCTTCCGAGGTTGGTAAAATGAGGACCCGTATTGTTGGGGGCAATATGCTGACTCTGTAAACCGCTTAGAGAGGGCTGTAAAGCATTGTGAAGAAGTATACGTCTAAGTGCTATTGCTATTTATAGGAAACAATGTATTCCTGTGCTTCCTTTCTAGTTTCATTTATTGTTTGGTTTATATAGATTCTACAGGGAATGTTAGCTGAATCTTACTGATGTTGCTGGAATCTTTTGGTTTAATTTGCACATGTCCAAAATATGTCCACAGTTGCATCAAGGGGCTAAGGGGCTTTCCCCAAACTGCCTTCAGGTGTATTGGATCTACAGTCCTAGAACTCCCAACCAATTATCCCAATATACTGTATCCAAAAAGCACTAGGCTGGGGAGAGTGCAATTAATATTAGAAATGCATTTCTACAAATCCAGTTGGTACCTATATACATCAGCCGGCTCAAATATTTCCACTGAATGTGGCAATGGTACAAAAATGATTTTACTAATCTATCAACAGAGCAAGTGTCAGTGATGTGATAGTCCTTAGAAGAAGAATTTCTGCTTTGTCTATTTTTTCCAAAGCTGGCAAAAGCAAAGGATTCCCTCTCCCCCACAACTTGGAATCTACTACCAAATTATAAAAAGTCATGGAGCCTTCATGTCATTGATAGGAACGCCAATATCTAAGGTTCCTATTGACAGCACAGAGGCTTTACTATTGTGCATGTATTTATATTCATTCATTCATTCATTCATTCATTCATAGATGATATCTCTTGTTTCTATGAAAAGATGGAACTCTCCTTTCTATTTCGTCCCTACATCTTCCATGAAGTTATTTAATCGAGACATTGTAAAGAAATGTAAAATCATTATGCCTTATGCTCTGTTGCTAGATACTATTATTATTTTACTTTATGTGTGAGGTTTTTTTATTAAAAGAATGGCATATTATGAATTGTTGGTTGCTTCCTTATTCTAAACACCAAATGCTGGTCCAGATATTATATTTACTCAGGAAGAACGTTTTCTTGTCTCTGTCACTGCTTGGAAGTCAAGGAACAGTGATACCATGTGGGACATTAACATACCATACATTTTTCCCCTTAAACGTAATTCTATGATGAATCAGTTATAGTGATTTGAAACATTTTATGGCAGAGATAAATATTCAAAGAATATACCAGAATGAAAGCAGAATATATTTTAAAGCAATTTTCATTGAGCATGTTGGCTTGCAGTTTTTTGAATGACAATGATTTTGGTCTATCCTACTTTTCTCACTTATGACATACAGAGAATGAAAAAAATCAAGATGCCATGCCTTGAAGCAACACACTTTTAAAAAGGCTAGTGCTTTGTATGATTGCAGCCTCCATCTTGATTTTTAATCTCCCCATAAGGTAAAGGTAAAGGTTTCCCCTGTCCAGTTGTGTCTGACTCTAGGGGGCAGTGCTCATCTCCATTTCTTAGCCGAAGAAGCCAATGTTGTCTGAAGACACTTCTGAGGTCATGTGGTCAGCATGACTATACACCAAGATGTACGGAACAGTGTTACCTTCCTACCAAGGTGGTGCCTTTTTATCTACTCACATTTGAAAGTCTTCAAGTGCTAGGTTGGCAGGAGCTGGGACAGGTAATGGGAACTCACCCCATCACACAGCACTCAGGTCTTGAACTTGAGCTGTCAGCTTTTCAGCTGACAAGGTCAATGTTTTTAACTGCTGAGGCATTTCCCCCCCCCCCTATAACTCCTCTGATTACAGGTGAAGGATATTGTAAAAACTAGTTGGCTGTTTCTAGTTCCTTCCCAGATGAATACTTTTAATAGCTTTTGGAAGACAATTCATAGTGTGTGCAATTACCTGTATTTTCTTGAAACTGTCACACTGGGCTGCCGAAACTTCAGTTCTTACAATGGTTGAAGGAACCATTAGATGCAGAGATGAAATAGTCACATATACAAACAAAAGATTGCTCAATTTGTACGAACACTCTAAGAGGTTTTAATATATACAGATAATTTTAATGCATTTTCCCCATTTAAATTTTGATAGAGAAATGTTTTAATGCCTAGTCTTTATTTCTCTGCCTAATGGTTGAGCTGTCACCCTGAAGTGAAATTGATGGCATTATTATTTTTTTTACAGCTGTTGTGCTGTTTTTTTTTTAAACTTCAGCTGCTTCCTATAATTCTGCAGATGGAAAACATATGTTTATGGACATACAATGTACACACACAAAACCGCAGACATACACTATTAGTTATAGTAGTCATACAATTTAGACACCTGTAACTCTTATTTGATAGAAACAGCTGATGTTGAAGAACTGATGAATATTATCCAAGTTTATGTTAATATTTTTTTATACATCAAGACTTTGAAACTGCAGGATAGCTGCTAATAGGATAACAAACTGCCAGTTTTTATAGATCATAATGAGAGCAGACAAGTATTTTTCTTTGGTTTATGAATGTCTGAGTGTTTACTAACTCTGCAGGGCAAAAACACTTAATTGGTTGTTGTTAAGTCCTCCATTCAATAGCGAATGATGAGGAGTCATGACGAAGTTAACAGTTCTTTATTTACAATCACCAACACTCGAACGAACAGACAGGCTCACAGGCCTCTCTCTTAAAAGAGACCAGAGACCTGGACAGAAACTTAACAAAGTATCTGGTGTTTCGCGCCTTGCGCATGTGCACAAGGCCGGCGCCACTTAGTCTGGTCCCGGGCAGCTTCTGGAATGCCCGGGACCATTGCAATATCCCGAGCCTGCTTTTGCAGGCTCCGGACACAACACCCTTCCCCCCTAGATGGAACATTCATGTACACCCACACACGTTATTTCTTGGGGAGAGTGTTATAAAGTTACAACAATCAAATGCACTGAATGTGGAATATTCGAGGTTGCATTCAAACACAACCCTTCAACCTGTTCCAGAATAAATGTATCTGAATTAAATTAAAAAAAAGTAAACAAAATAATCTCTTAACCATGGTCCTTGTGATCAGGCCCCTTGGAACCTGACAGCAACCTCACAAATTCCCTGAGATAGTTGGATGGGCACATGGCCCGCTGCGACCTCCTAGGGCCAGAAGAGATTTCCTGGCCCCCTTGTTCGGTTACCAGGCTAGGTAGGCCAAGGCTTTTCTGCCCCAAGGACCCAGTTGACCTGCCCATCTGCTGGCTGGCTGGACCCTCTAAGCCCAAGCCGGCATACCTTGGAGGGGTGGTAGTCCCCGGTTCCACAATGGACCCTTCTTGGGAGCACTGTCCCTCGAAGCCAAGGCCAGCAGATGAAGAGTGCTGGTTAGCGGGATTACCCCAGTGGTCTGTAGCCCCCAAGCATGTGCCTGAGGTGCCAGAATCAGGAGTCGCCTCCGTGGCTAGCCTCTTTCCTGTTGACCTCCTTCTGGAAGCAACTGCAGAAGTGGGCCATCCCCCCTGCTGTATTTCTTGTTCTCTTGCAGTTTGTGAGTTATGTGGATACCCCCCAGTCAGTCTCTCTGTCCAAAACACTATCTGTCATGTGTGAATAATGTGGATACCCCCGGTGTGACTCCCTGTCTGGAATAATTGTAGATGTGTGGGATGACCCCCTATCCATTGAATTCCTGTTTCGAGCACTTGCCGAACCTTGTGATGAAACATCCATGGCCTCAGCAGCAGCTAATGAAGTCCTGTGAAACTGATCCCCAGAATGCATATTATGATCCTCCTCCCCCCCCCAGAGCAGAGACAGGAGCGAAAGAGTGAGAGTCCAGTCTCCAACGCAACTGGTCTATGTGCCTGCGAAGAACGCGACCGTCTCCCAAGGTCACTTCATATGACAATGGCCCAGAGAACTTGCAGACCACAGCTGTTACCCAGAGATGACCAGGCCCATAGTTTCGTGCCCAGACCAGATCACCCACTTGAAGTCTCCTCGGTGCCCATGGTTGTGACACCTGTGACTCCACCCAGTTAGGGTGCAGCCTGTCCAGCTTAGTGATGAGGCGGTGACCCCAGTGGAGTTCAGCAGGGCTCTTCCCAGTGGCAGTGCATGGTGTGGTGCAGTGTGCAAGAAGAAAGTCTGCTAACCTGTGATGCCAGTTACTGTAAGTCAGTTTCTTTAGGGCATC